GTGTGCCTGTCGGAAATCTGTCCATCTGAGCGGCCCGACTGTCTAGTGTCTGGCCACGGTTTGAGTTGGAGAGGAGCCCTCGCAGCCTTTAATGGAAGGGGGGGGGGCAGGATACTGTTCACACATCCACGCACACACACACACACACACACACACACACACACACACACACACGGGATAGGTGGAATGTGTAGAAAGTGAGATTGAGGGGAAGAGGACAGGTTGCTGGGGGGAATAAAGGGAGAAGACTCAGGGGAGAGGCCAAAAAAAGGTTGTACTGGGAGAACAGACAGAAACATCAGCATGAATCCGTCTGTGGTTATCGTCTGTTTCTCCTTCAGCACTGAATGGATTTAATAGGTGAAGTTGCCATTTGCTCTTGTTCCATCTCCTCTAATGTGAAGATTAACAGTTGTCTCTTATATTTCATTAATACAATCGAACACAACCCTCAGTAAATCCTTCATGAAGGTCACAATGTTCAGTGATGTTGAAGCCGTTATAGATAGTCTGTTAACTGATATTGTGATATTAGTTGGATCCACCCCATCGGTGCGAGGAGACTACATATCGCTGCAGGGTCAGATGAGGTCCATCACAGTTTTAAACACAGCAAACAATAAATACTTCATTTATTTGATAATCAGCTTTTTGTAAAAAAGTGTCATTTAAGTTCAGGGTCAGGTGGTTTCCACGTTTCGTGAGTGTTGCTGATGTTTTATGGCAGATGTTGTTTTTTTTAAAAGTTAAACTCACACAATGATCCAAATGTGGCTCAAGTGGCTTGAAAAACAGAACTCGCGCTTCCTGTTTTCCCGATCACAGCCGCGCTGATGCTTCCTGTTTTTGTTTGTCCAATCATGGCGTCGTCTCGCAGTAACTGTTTGTTTGGTGAATCCAATCAGAAAGCGGCGCTCAGCCTGCATCCTGTGTTTGTTTGTCTCCCTCCACAGAACACCACAGACAGCTCATCCAATTCCTCCCAGAAACTGGAGAGCTCTCTGCATCCGCTCGAGTCCTCGCCCCTTCCGCAGAGACACAAGTGCGTGATGGGACATCGCCACGACCTCCATGACCCCTACCGGCTCTCAGACCACTACTTCTTGGACCAGGTGAGACAAAATAAATCTAATACACAGCTGCACAGAGAGTAGAGGACCAGGCACTCCCTCCAAAATGAGTCCAAACCTTGGAAAAATACACTTTTGTTCATCATTTTATTTACACTGAACATTTTTCTGAGACGACCGTCATGTTTAACATTCTGAGATGTTGTTGACAGCTCAACTTCCAGCTGCGTTAAAGTTTCTTTCTGTTTTCTCCTCAGCCCTTGTCCCGGCTTCCCCGCCACGTCACTTTCCAGGAGGACGATGAAATCGTCCGTATCAACCCTCGGGAGCGCAGCTGGGAGCGAACCACAGAGCGTCTCCATGGACGCCAGTCAGACCGGCCCTGGCTTAGGGGCTATGAGGACTACCGCCACGCCACCGTGCGTGACAAGTTCATCCAAATGGACGACTCTGAGTCCTACGTCCACTTTGCCAAGACTGAGTCGCAGAAGCATGACTACACCTACCCTCTGGCACCGGCCCTGTCGCCGTCAGACTCTGACCCCGCACTCGGACCCTTGACCAATAAGGGCCATGGTGGCTCATATCGCCACGGCTTCTCCTCTGTTGTCTCCACCCAGCCCCGCTCTTTCCTCCCGAGCTTGTCCCCATCCAATGGCGGGAAGGGTCGGAAAGAGGATGGGATGGAGCGTGCACAGTGCGAGCACTGCGGTGAGGGGTTTTACATGTCCGACAACCGAAGAGGGCGGTGCCAGGATGCTCCGGACCCCGTGCGGGGGTGCATCCGGCGGGTCAGCTGCATGTGGCTGGCAGACACCATGCTCTACCACTGCATGTCCGACCCAGAGGGGGACTACTCAGACCCCTGTTCCTGTGACGGAGGCGAGGGCGGAGGGGGAGGCCGATTCGGTACACGCTGGTTAGCCCTGCTCGGCTTGTCTCTGGTGGCGCCCTGTCTCTGCCTCTATCCGCCTCTCCACGCTTGCCACCGGGCGGGGCTCACGTGCGGGTGCTGCGGAGGCCGACACAAGGCCCTAAGCTGAGCTGCTGCACTTGGAAACCTCTCGGAGGAAGCGACGAAAATCTAAACCCAACGCAAGCACAGGGAAAGGGAAGGATGGGAAATACACAGAGAGGACAAGTGGTCATGGCTGCTCGCTCTCTTGCCTTGGTTTCTCTGGGTTTCTCTACAAATTCCAGACACTGAAATAAGCCAAAAAAAAAAAACTATTGGTGCATTTTCTATACGGCCTGGGAAGATAAGCTCCCCCTTACGGCAGACAGTTCTCTCACCTCTTCACGTGGCCATTTCATGCTCTGTTTCTAGTGAGAGAGCACTCTTTTTCAGGGGGCCTTTTTTTTATAGCTGACCTATATGTCATGTATCACATATGCAGGTACTTTATACTTTGTACACTGACTCGGCGTCAAAGAACTTGAAATGTTTCTTCTTTATTTCTTTCTCTTCTTTAATGTACGCGTGGCCATTTTGTTTATATTCTATTCCAATATCAGGCCCGCTCAGCCCAACTCCAGCTACCAGAGAAATCAGACACTACACCTCTTTACGTGTGTGCGACTGTGTGTGTGTGTGTGTGTGTGT